GAAGGCCAGCTGAGCTGGGCCGCCCCACTGGAGAGCAGCACAGCAATGGATGATTTTGAAGGCACCAAAGGGGATTATTTAAAGCACTAGAAAGATAATCCTCCCACCACTAAAAAAGGAGCAGAAATCAAGTTGGGTTTAAGTTGTGCCTGATGAGAAAGTAGTGTACAAGGCATTGAAGGCATGGCCCCCGTCACCCCATCACACACTGATCAGGTGAAATCTTTTCAGTTTTCCTGGAATAATTTGCCCACCAAAACCAAATAACACACAATTGTTACTCATAACTACCACTGCCTGGGAAGTCTCTTGTGAACAGTGGCTGCTCTGATTACGGGAACAAGTGATGAACAGTGACTTTGGTTTAGTGGGGCTAAGGCATTCCTTACCAAGCAGCAGACTGCTTTGCAGCCAGTGACAAGGGAGGATGGGATGGGAAACCATCTGGCTGGAAACTCCTGGGACCGTGTGAGCACGTGGTGGCATGGCAGTGCCTCTGGCAGCAGCGTGCCCCCATTGCACAAGTCACCTGCCACGCAGCCCTGGGAATTCAGACTGGCTGCTGCTGCAGTGGATGCCCATGCTGGAGGTTAACACCTCTCTCCCTGCCACCCCTGCCTCGCTTTGCCCCAGTGGCTCCATCCCTCTGAGAGCAACGGGTCCACCTAATGCTCTTCTGCTCCGCTCGTGCTCCTCAGTGCCGCTCTCCTCCTCTCTTCCAGCTGCAAACCTGATGCGGGATCTCTGGCCTGCCAGGAAAGGTTGATCCCTTGAGTTAGTGTCCTGTTAATCCTGGAAATGGCAAAAAACCTCCCTGGCTCATGCTCTTGTGTGGACGTTGGATCTCTTCCACATAGTGGCACGGGCAGCCTGGGTGGCAGCTCAGCTCCCGCAGAGCAATGACAGAGGTTCATGGCTTTAGACCTGCTGGCCCACTGTGCTGCAGAGTCAGAGGGGGACATGAGCCTTCCCATCACAGATCCCTTCCCAAAGCAGGAGAGTGTCAAGTGGGAACTCGGAGGACACCCATGCTCACTGCCCATTGCAGCCACAAACTGCCAGCCCCACAGCCTCTGACACCAGTCTGCGGGACTCACTTGAGATCTTTCTGTGCAATGTTCTCAGCACCAGCTATGCCACTGGGGAGAAAGGCCTACAGAGTACTGGGGTGTAAAATCTGCCTTGCTGGTATTTTGGAGCATTCTCGGCTCCCACTGTGCTGATTGTGCGCTTGCACAGAAATACCCCAAGCAAACAGCATTGATCGGCTCAAGAGGAGCCGACTGACAAAGCGTTCTTCCTCCAACTCCGGGAGGCTTCGCGCTCCCAGGCTCTTGTCCTCCTGGGGGACTTCAACCACCCTGACATCTGCTGGAAAACCAACACGGCAAGCTGTAGGCAATCCA